TTAAAACACACACAGACAAGTAATATGTGACACTTTTATCAAGTGCCTACACAGTCAATTCTTATATTCCTCCATTTTTTTTTTTTTTTAATTTTATTTTATTTTTTTTTTTTGTAATTTATTTATTTATTTTTTTAGATAAACTGGCCCACTTAGCTTTCTCTAAGTATATTGCCATGTTTGGTGACAATATAGGAAATAAAATTACATGCTATATTAAAACATGCCCAAACTTTATTTTCTACCTTATAACTGACAATATTACAAATATGCCAAAAATAATTCACAATACAACACACCGTTTAAATTAAAGTGTCCATTGGTTAACATCATCATGTAAAATATTTGATCAGAGAAAAGTAAAACCCTATTTTTCTCAAACTTACCTTTGGGAGAGATACTTATTTTGACTTTCAGAAAAGCTGTTCAAAGATAAAAGGTGCTGTGGCTACATAGCTCCCCCACCCCAGTGCGTTGAAAGAAACTTGTATTGGTGGCTTCAGTGAATCCTCTCCAACAACATGGCCAGCTGGTCTGTCAGCAACTTTAAATGAATCCTCTCCAAACAGTCAGATTTTAAGTCTTTTCTGTGGATCAAATGCTACCCAAAGATTTTAACTTAAGGACTATTTTTATTCCTTTTTGACATTTGAATTCATGTACATGTGTTTGTAAATACAAATGATTTATTTCAGATGCATACCCATGTTTTCTTTTATTTTATTATTGTTTTGAATTTGGCCATTCAATTCAATAAAAAAAAATCAACAAAAAACAACAGGAAGGACAACTGAATTTCCTATGACAAACACTATAACACAAATTGAATTTAAGTTTGCTAAATACATTCCAGTCTGGTTCAGCTGTTAGATGGTTCAGGACACTTAACTGATGTTCTCTTTCACAATTTTCTAACATTACTGTTTACATTTAGATAATCATTAACTCTATTTGCTGTTATCTTTTTAAAAAAAATAAAAAATAAAAAAAATTGTTTTGAGGTTCCTTCTTTTATCTTGTCTTCTTTTTTTTTGTATCATCCTCATTCTACTTCATGTCTTTTATTATTATTCACTTTTTCCTCCCTTTCTTTTCACATTCACTTAGTTTCCTATTTTCTTTTTCTCTCTTTCCACTTATCATTCTCTGTCTATTACCATCTCACTTACTTTTTCCTTTTATTTCTTGGGTCAAGTGTATAACATCCCACCAATGGAAACATCAGCTGACAATAAATAAGTCACCTTTAAAAGGTTATTCTCTTATAACTCCATTTTTTATTTCTTTTTATTTGCTTTGTAAAATAAGAAAGAGTTCAGTCAAATTATAAGGAACAATTTAGCTCAGAACCATAAATGATATTATTATTATATTTTACTTATTTTATTTTTCAGCAGATTTTTCTTAAATTTTCATTTGATTATTAATGACTGTAGAGAGTAAAGTAACAGAGAATGGGATTTTGTATGCACATAGTAGGATCCACCTATTTTCCCCTCATAAATACTGATAGATATAACATTTGGAACTTGAGTTCTATGAACATGTAAATACATGTTCACTCTTAAGAGTTTAATGAACAAATACAGTATTTTTCTTAATTTGTGTAGGGATGAGACATGTACATATCTATGCTATAGATATTTCCACTGATTTGCTAAAAAAATTATCATACCATAATGAAAAACATGCCCAAAACTTTAAAAAATGTTTTTATCATCAAAATCTTTAAGAGGATTTTTTTATTAAATTATATTTTTTGATCCTTTTTAGAATGTTTGAAATTTTGGTTAAAAATCTTTTCCTTTTTTGCATTTGTGTGGTGACCAAGTGACCAAAGGAAATTTTAGCACCTTTTTTTTTTTTTTTTTTTTTTGTGGTGAAAAACACATTCATTTGGAAATTCATGCAAAAATCAAATAATTGTTGGGTTTTAAATGAAACTTTTAGGACTTACTCACAAATGTTTTTAGAATTTTCTTTTTTCTTTTTTACCTTACCACTTTTTTTTTTTGAAGTTTCAGGAAATTAAATTTTGGTCTGCTTATTGTTTATATTGGAGAATTTAAATCTCCAGGACACTCAGTTACTGAAAATTTGTTCTGAATCATAATATAAAAAAAATACCATAAAACTTATTATTTAATTAGAAAAGCTTTTAATTGCTTTTTATAAATAAGATAAATTATGGACATTATTGACTGAAGAAAAAAATTTTCAAATGAATAATGAATTTTTACAAGAACTGTTTTCAAGTTTTTTGAATTTTAATTATAAAAATTTATAAAGTTTTAAATTAGGTACCTCTAGATTCACAATATTTCAGGTTTAAAATTAATTTAAAAACGTGAAAAATCTTTCTTGAAGCTTTTATTTTAGTTTTAATTTCAAGCTGATAGATTAAATTTAATATTTCTAATCAGCAAAATACTTTGCTGTATTTCAAAGCTAATTTAAATTGATTGGAAAAAGTTTTTTTTTTGGAATTGCTGATTTTTTTTTTAGTGTCATTTTTAGTCATCTGATTTTTAATAAAGAGAATTACATTGTGATGACAGATGGCTAAAATGGTGTTCAAATCAGCAATGGTTAGTGAGTTCAAAATGAAAACTCCCTCCAGTCAATTTAAATTAGGTTTGAGATGCAGCAAAGTATTTTGCTTATTGGAAATATTACATTTAATCTATTAGCTTGAAACTAAAACAAAAACTTCAAGAAAAATTTTTCATTTTTAAAAAGTCATTTTAAACCTTAGGTATTGCAAATCTGCAGTGGTACCTACATTATAGAAAGCTTCATGTCAAGATTACACTCAAATAACAAGGCTCATTGACTTGAATTTGGGCTTGAAGACTTTCATGAGGAGGATATTTTCCTTGTGAAGAGGTCATCAAAGGTCATTATACCATTTCTATCCACATGTATCAATTTTAAGCAAATTGGTATTATGCTATATAATGCAATGTTTTTGCTCTCATAAATGGTAAGGCAAATTAGTTAAATTTGTCCTCTAAAACTATCAGAGGTCATCCAAAGTAAAATTATTTTGTGATCTTTAAAATCTGTTGCAACTAAACAATTATATTCTTGGAGATCTATTTGTAGATGCAAGTAAAATGGGCAAAGATGATAGAATAGGTTGTGCTAACCTCCAAAATGTTAGTTTCAGATTAAAATAGTATTTTTCTTTTCAGCCAAATAAAAAGAATTAAAACTTTTTTTTTAACCCTAAAAATATTTTTGGATAAAAATTTTAAATTTTCAGGAGTTTTACAGATGTTTTGTATTAAAAAACAAACAAAAAAAAAAAAAACAACAAACAAAAAACTGCAATAATAATAGTGTAAATAATAATCTTTTGTTATTTAAGAAGCAATCTTTTAGCATATCACCCAATCCCTAGCTGTAACCACCTAACATAACTCTAATTTGTACTTGTGCTAGTCACCGAATACAACACTCCTGTTGAGTTTTCAAATATAATACAGGATAAGGGATGCTACATTTCAGTAGAGGTGTCTTGTATACAGTGCAGTGAATTTCACTGGTTAATTTCTTTCACTGGGATTTGTGTTTAGTTCTATACCCATAAAAAATTCATGAGCTATGGCTTTGTTGATTTGATGAGATTTTGATTGCTGTTTTCTCAACATCTAGGCAGTTTTGCTGAAAAAGGTATAAACATGCCAACTGAAGAAACAATGCTGTTGAAAAATTATTAGCAATTTATTTAGAAGTGAAATGTAAAGTCATACAACAGCTATGAGACTATTTTGTTCTAATCATTCCTTTTCTATCCTTGAGGCACTGAGAGATGTCTCTTTGTTAAGTAATGCTGATATGCTAACATCTTGCTAGTGAACTACTTTTCTAATAGTATATTATTTTATAGTATCTCTTATGCATGATGTTTGAAAGGAAATGCTGGTTTTCACTGGACAACTATCTCTCTTTAACTGCAACTGATTTGTGTGCATAAGTACATTTACATAAGCTTCCATCCAGAGTGTAGGTGGGGCTTTATAGAAAAAATTAATTAGCTTCTCAAACAAAGAAATTTCTGTTAAATAACCTAGATGGCCATGTATGAAGTGCTTTTCAGTTTGGGCCTGGTTTTTTAAGTTTTCAAAATTTACATAGAAATCAGTATGAATAGGTTGCTGAAACCACAAATCCTAGAGTGACTGAAAAGTCTATGGACTTTTGGCAAACTCATTAGTCCTGTCATGCCAACTTCCTTGGGATTATGGAGTTGTGCCAGGAGTGTCAGTCATTGCTGAATTTTACTTAGTTCAAACTCTTCCAAGGTCCACCTTAGAAGTATTTTATAGGTTTAAATTAATATTTTGAAACCAACTTTAACCACTCTCCAATATTTTTCTCATTCTAAGGTATTTATCCAACCTCCCCACAAGGTAGGATGTGGTACAAGGTCAGTTTTTAAACTGGGTTAGTGATATGAGGTATTGAGACTTGATAATTCTCAGTGAAGAAGTAGAGATATTTTTCTCATTCTAATATCTCAGAATTATCAAGCTTCTCAATACCTCATGTCACTAAGCACTTTTCATGCACTAGTATCACTCAACCAGAGCTACTACCTTGTTACAAACATATTTGAAGTTATTTTTCACCAGGCAAGCCCAGATATCCCTATTAGTATTTTCTCTAAAGACTTATAAATTCTCAGACAATTTCCCAACTGAAACTGCAAGTTGATCTTTTAACTAAATAATAAAAATTAGCAGGGTTTAACTTTTTTTCTTTGCTTGATAATATTAGCTAATTCTTTTTTGGTTATTTTTTGGGGATATTTGTGTTAAATCTTGTTCTAACAATCTTGTTTTCTTATGTTAGTAATTGTATTCATATTTTAATAAATCTCCACAAGAAGTAGCTATTCATCATGAAGGTCTGGGTTTAGTATAGAAATGAGCATATATCAATTGTCTGTTTCATTAAATGTCTTATTTATTGTGCTTCTTTTTTTTTTTCTTCAGACAGGAAATATCGGCAGTCACATGAATGGATATCTGTCTCTGATAATGTTGGAACAGTTGGTATTTCCAATTATGCACAGGTAATTATTGATTTGTTTTTTGATTTCATGCTTTCAATCTTATCATAATGTCATTTTGTTGATATTCTTTTTTAGTTGGTCAGTTGTCATTCTTGGTAGTTGAAAATTAAAGGAAAACAAGCACAAATTATGTGTGCAGCAAATTTACTGTTTTTCATTTTGCAGAAATAATATTTTAAAGACCTAGTTAAATGATCAAGTTAGAATATTTTATATTTGGTCATACAATTGGATGGTTAGCATTTGACTAGTAATGAGGATATGGATTTGTGATTGTATAAGAATGGTGAGGAAAGAATAATTTTTCAGTTCAATATTTTGTGGCATACTGAATGCCCAATTGCTTGTTATTACTGGAAAATAGGACTTGGCAAATCCATTTTTTGGAGTACAGAACAATCATCCTTCTCTGAAATATTTTATGAATTAATTCACTAGATTCACAAAAATACATTCACAAGACTTCAGTAGAAGCCATAAGTTTGTTGTTAATTTCTTGTTAAGCTGTTTTTGTGTCCATAAATTTAAACAATTCCAGAATGTGTAACTCATACCACCTTAGTATTGCTGCTCATAATGAAGGTCAATATAATTGCTGAGGTTGTAGGACAGTGTTTATTGTTGGGTCTTATCTAATTAGCATGCAAAATTGTTGATTTCAAGCATAATGGGAATGACTGCAAATCATTCACCCTGTTTCCTTTTATAGGCAGAAGTTCACAAATGCAAACTGGCCAATGTTATTGGCCAAGAAAAATATCCCATTAGATCTTTCGTAGATGCCAAGTCTGTGGAAGATCCAAGGAACTTCCTGGATATCTCTAGTGTGATTACCCTGATTAAAAACACCAGAGCAAAGTGTGGGATCATCTGGCAGGAGTAAAGGATGGCACAAATTGAGTCTTCGCTTTTAAAAAAAATTATCTCAAATGTGTTCGGGAAGGGTCCCAGTTCTACTCTATCCCTCTTTATATAAGAGCCTTAAAGTTAACCTTCCCAACAAATGTCAATGGCATTTTTAAGGACACTCGAATTATGACTGACATTGGAACTGGAAACCTTGAACAATCCATCGGAGTCTTGACCTCCATAGATTTCCGTCCAGTCTGCATTTAAGGTATTTAAAAAATTAAAAGATGTCTATTAAGCTAACTGGCTTGAATGTGAGGGGATTGAGAGATTGGGGTAAGGCTGCCCACCTGCTTCATGATCTTTTGTCCTTTGGATGTGGCTGCAATCCAGGAGACACACTTTGTTTGCAAATGTTTATGCCTAGTGACTTTGTTGTCTATTCAGCATACAGGGACCAGTTAGCCAAAGGTGTTTCCTTTTAGTAAAACGTTCCCAGGGTGTGAGGGTGGACTTTGTCCATTGGAGCAGTTGATCATGGCCAATATTACCATGAGTAGTAGATTGTTTTGAGTCATTGCACTTTATGCGCCCAACGACCAGACTTTTGTCTGTCAGTTGAGGCCATTAATGGTATATTTGTCTTAATGGATGACTGGAATGCCATCCTGGACCCCAGTGGGCAGGGAGTTAGTGGGAGGTCATTGGGTAATTGTAACTTGGTTGATCTGATCGGCAAGTTTGGGCTTGTCAATAAGATACTGGCTCAATTATCCAGGGCAGAAGATGTGGTTGTGGGCACTTAAGTGGCCATCTTTTTGGGTAGCCAGCTACTCTAGATTTGTTAGATTGTCCCGCATTCCACCATTTAGACTATTCAGTCTATAGACTCATCTGTATCTGTCTATATTTCTGAGATGAGGTATTGTGTACATTATTCGGACTACTGTCTTCATCTTTGTCGCCATGTTTATTACGGCGTTTTGGCCGTTGTACACTCCGGCCTTCTTCAAGTGGTTGGAATGTCAAACTGAACCCTTTATTTCCCTCACTGGGATAGACTGTTCTAGTTCTACATGACATGTTTAATGGATGTCAGTTATCAATTATCTCCTGTTAATTTCCCTCGACATTCCAACCACCTGAAGAAGGCCGAAGTGTACAACAGCCGAAACGTTGTAATAAAAAGATGAGGACAATAGTCAGAATAATGTAAATAATAGATTCATCTGTTCTTGGATGGTGTTAGTTACTAGGCCTAGAATGGCTGGATACTGGAAGTTCAATCTGTCTTTTCTGGTCAGGCAGGACTTCCGGCAACAGCTAACTAGATTAGTGCAGTGAGAACTAGTGGGGGTGGTTTTTGGGGAATAAGTGGTGGGAGAGGCTTAAGGATAGGATTAGGTCTTTCAGCACTGAATATAGCCAATGACTCACTCTAGATAAGGCTAAAATGGTGAAGACTCTAGAGGATAGTCTATCTGGGGAGGTGGGGACTCCCTAGAGATAGCTTTAGCTAAGCAGGCTCTGAAGTGTGTGGCTAGTAAGCGCTACAAGGATCAGGTAATCAGGTTAAACAAAATGTCTAATGAAGCTGTGAACATGGGCACAGAATTGTGCAAGGAAGAGATCCATTGAGGTTTCGATGTATACATTCATATGGTCAATATCCTGGAGGGGCTTTTCAGTGGCATTTCAAGGGCCATTTTAACAAGGAGCCTGGACTCTGTGACATTGAATTCTGCAGCTATTTGTCTGACTTTTCACGACTTGAGCCAACTGAGGCAGCTAGCTTTGAGGGAGAGATCGTAGAGGGCGAAGTTCATTTGGCATTGAAGAGTGTCTACAGTGGCAAGTCTCCAGGACTTGATAGTCTGCCCTATGAACTGTACTTGAGGCTGTCGCATATCTTTGTTCCGATTTTGACCAGTTCAACAACTGGTTCTGGCCAGGGTCCATCCCTGATTGGATCTCCAGGGGTGTGATCACGCTGTTGAAAAAGGGCAAGGGTGTTGGGCAGGATTTAGATGATTATAGGTCCATAACTCTGTTAAATACTAAGATATTATAAGATATAAAATATTAAGATTTTGGCCAAGAACCTGATGGAACATTTGCAGCCAGTTGTCACAAGCTTGTTAGGACCTGAGCAGACTTGTGCTGTTAAGAGACAAACAATTCAAAGCAACTTGCATCTGATCCACATGATCCTAAAGGGTGCAGAAGGTGGTGATGAAGCTGCACTGGTCAATTTAGATCAGTCCAAGGCATTTAACAGGGTCAACCATCAGTACCTGGCTGCTATCCTGCAGGCTACCTGATTTGAACCCGACTTATGCAGGTGGATCAGCTTCCTGTATTGATCCCTCAGTGTTGTAGAGGTGAATGGAAAGAGGTTGAGTGCTTTGTTGCTGTCATGGTCAATTTGTTGTTTGCTGTGGTAAATTGGTAAACATCCTGGAACACACTTTCCACTGCGGTGTCATAGGCCCACTGTGTAAGTTCATTGAAGACCTCATGTTTTGCAAGCTGTGTGGAAAGTTCTTCACCCTTGAGGCAAGTTTTGTCTGTAGCAATGTGATACCCCTGTTGGCTAAGTCTGAGCACTATATGTTCTTTTGCTTACTAGATGTTATGTGAATTGTGATATGGGCAATGTGATAAAAGGAATTCTATGAGGAAGAGAAGTTTACCTATTCTCAACTGATCTTATACCTTAAGCATCAGTTTAAATTCAAGATTAAGACAGAAAGGCAACAACACACTCTATTGGAATTTGGCAAAAGGTGAGTGAGTCTTGCACATCTGTGTCAAGTAAAAAGGAGCTGACTTAGAGTGGCATTTTGATGCTGGTTAGTCATTAGGATATTGGTTTTCTGTGTTGAACATTAGCAAGCATTCCCAAGCATAGAGTTTTTTTTCCTTCATTTCTTCTATCAGAGTTAATTTAGCTAGGGAAAGCATGCTCATTGGCCACCATTTTATTTGTGTCCCTTCTTTCTTTAGTTTAATTCCCCCTACCCTTCCCTGTTAAGTGACAGATGTCAGTTCTCTGGTTGAGGCAAATACCTTTTGTATTTCAAGTGTGCTTTTCATTTTTGTTGATGTTTGAATGAATGTGTTTGACTGAGTGTTTGGTCAAATGATTATTAAAAATATTTAAGTCCTCCAGGAAATTTTGTCCATTTAACTGTTGTTCATACCACAATCAAGGATTGCAGGGAGGTGGGTTAATACTAATAATATTTTGTTTAGTTTCGTATATATAGAATTCTTCACATTGTAAATATTCATTGGGATTACATTTTTAAGTTATTTTATCCCCTCCCCCCCAATTAAAAAAACACACACAAATTGTACATATGGGGACTAATTTGGATTTCATGAAGACTCTCAGGTATTATGGGGATTGTAGTAAGAATGCGTTTTGGTGTTAGGATTATTGTTGTATATTTGGGTTAGTGATTGCAGCTGGCTAAGTTTAACTATAAAAAGTCTTTCCCATCCCCCTTTTTGGCCTTGTGCCACATTTTTGTATAATACAAAATAAATATTACTTTCCTCTATGGTGCCTAGACTTTATGAATTTAAGCACAGTACTAGGTCTCATCATTTTACAGCTGAAATGGCTAAGATATAACCATAAGTTCTATGCTAACAGTTACACTTGTTTATGGAACACTCTTCGCATTTTTTGTTTTCCAATCAGTTTTGATCTGCTATAATATTAAAAGCACAAAAACTTTTTCCTGTGTGTGTGATATTTTGCATATACTTATGCTTGCTTTTTATTAGAAATTAGTTTTATTTGTGGCTTTAAATCATTTTTACTTACAGGAGGCTGTTGGTGAAATTGTGTTCGCCTCTATTGCAGAAACGGGGACTCTTTTGCAGGCAGGAGGTTAGTAAAAAATGTTTTTCTATAAGCACAATGTGTATTATGTTTAGATACTTGTTGATTTTCTAGCCATAGCTTAAATGTGACACAAGGCTGGAAGTATGGGGCACCCAGTGAGGATCAAACCCATTACCTTGTCATAATTGTTCTAGCAAGACAAGCTTGCTAACCATTATACCATGTCAAGGTGTCCATGTTTAGATATTTATGTATCTAAATACAATATTGTGTTTAAATACATAAGTAATTAGAAGTGTGTTAATTGAAAACATGATAAATTTATAAATTCTTTTATTGCCTTTTAATAATAAATTCCTTACAACTGTTTGCTTCTCTTTATCCTTATATTTTCACAGTAATTAAATTGACTTTATACTTCTAAAAGTATAAATTAAGTGCAAAATTTTATAGTATGATTTTATTTGAAGTTTTTATTTCTTGCAGAGAGCTGTGGAGAAATTGAAAGTGTAAAAGCTGTTAGTGATGTTTATGTTCCAGTGTCAGGGACTGTGATTGAGACAAACTCAAATATTCTTGACAAACCTAGTTTGATAAACAGCTCACCACATGATCAGGGTAAGTAATACTTCAAATAAGTTTTCATTCTTTTGTGGCAAGACAGATTTTATAAGCTAAATGGCAGTAACTATTGGATAGAGATGTTTCTCACTCAGGTTGCCCTCAGTGATGAGAAATGGTCCACAATATTGGGTGACACTTTCTACCCAAAGTACAGGATAAAGATATATCTTGTTGAAAAAGATAAGTACTACAATTCATAGGTAAGCAAAAAAAATTATGGTTTTGAGTTGTCAAGACATCTGACAAAGGAGAAAGCTAAACATTAGAATTTTCTGAAAGATAAGAAACTTTTAAAACTGTTCAAATATACGAACTAAGTGATAAGAAAATGAGAGGATAAACATGGAGAAAGTAGGTAAGATTTTGAATATCCAGATAAGAATAAATCACCCATAAAAGGTAATATATCAAAAGTTGGAGGCAAGTTGAGATTTCTCAAAGATTTGATAATTAATTGCCTGAATTCTCAGAACATTTTCATAAACTCAAACCAGTTACCACTTAAGAGATGAATGTCTCTCAACATTACAAACTCATCTTACCCAGATACCTGACTGAATTAATAATAGTGTCTTACCGAAAGTGACCTAGACATAGGGCAGAGACATTAAGATGTCTGGACTTAAAACCATTATTGTTTCCTGTTAGAAAACAAATGCAGAAGTATATAGACTTATATTTTATAGATTATGCAAAAGCATTGGATAAAGTTTGTCACAAAGAACTGCTAAGTATCCATGACATATTTGGGAAGGATATTAACCCAGAACTTATACTCTCAGCAAATTACCTGCATAGAAAATGAATTTAGTATATACACAAAAATAGAAAGGATTATGTCTTCTCACCAGACATATTCAAACTATACAGTGAGGCAATTCTGAGAGAATTACAAGTCCTCTCAGTATTCATTATTGGTAGCTACAATCTTAACATAAGATATGCAAATGAAACAGTGTTGATAGCAGACACAGAAAGGAAAATACAAAATATCCCGCAGGAAAAAAGGACAAAACATAAATTGCAAGAAGATAGAATGCGTGGTTGTCAGCAAAAAGAACAACCCAACATGCAAATTACAAATTGGAGATAGTAAAATCAAACAAATACAACAATTTAAATATCTGAGAAGTGTTTTAATAGGGGATGGAAAATGTGACACTGAAATCCAAAGATGCATTGGGATAACAAAAGACGCTTTCCGAAAATTAAGTATTAAGAAACAGGAAAATTTTGTTAAAAACTTGTACTGAACTTGTACTGTACTGTTATGTATTGTCAGTCCTCCTATATGGCAGTGAACACTGGACAATCTCCATACAGAAGAAGATAACTTGAAGCAACAGAAATTTGCTTCTACAGAAGGATGCTGAAAATAGCATGGACCGAACATGTGAGCAGTGATGAAGTTTTAGAGAAAATGGAAACAAATAGGACAATCCTACTTAACATCAGAAAGAGACAATCTAAATTTCTAGTGCACATATTGAGAAAAGAGGGCTTTGATACTCACAGGGCATATTGAAGGAAAGAGGGACAGAAGAAAACAGTACATAACCTACTTAATGAGCTTGTACAAACGAATGGTCGAACACGGCTTAGGAGAGATAGCAAAAAGACAAAATTTACTAAGAGCTACAAAATAGAGGAAATTTTGAAGAGCCATGATCGCCAACATCCAGAGGGGGCATGGCACATAGAAAGAAGAATTAAAAAACAAGCCACATTTCTATACAGTTACTTTGCACTAGAATATAGCCACAGAATGACATTTGTCTCTTATTTTACATGTCTGTTTTAACCAATATCATTTCCTAAAGAGATCCAACAAGGAAAAAATATTAAGAACAATTATGATCATCTTCTTGTGAACTTATCTAAATTAAAAAAATTATATAATGTAGGGAGGAGTAAACAGTCTGTCAGCTCCTTTTTTGGCAACTAGAGCTGAAGGCTGAAGTCACTGAGAGTTGATACATAATTTTACAAGCAGAAATGCTCCCAAATCATTGATTCAATGATTGTTTGCTTTGGGCATATTTGGATGAAAGAGTATAAAATGTTAACTTTAGTGTTTTTTGTTACAAACACAAAGAATTTATCCAAGTTGGAGTTCTATTAAAAAGTTAATGAAACCAAACGCAGCAAAATTGATGCGTTAAAGAAAGATTTTATTCAATTTTTTAATTGGAGAATTTTTCACATTGTCTCAAATCATTAATTCATATAACGAAAACATGAGATTTCTTTGATCAATTTGAATAAGTTCAGCTACAATTAACTGCTTATTAACTTACCTCATGAGGGAGCTGAAAATTTTATTGAATTAAGTTTTGTACTTCTTTTTCCTTTGCAGGCTGGCTACTAAAACTAGAATTGTCAAATAAAGAAGAATTAAATGATTTAATGGATGAAACTGCTTATCAAGAATTTCTGAAGACATTTGAATCCTGAAGATGGCTCAAGAATTTCTTTCTCAATTGTTATCATTTCCCGTTCTTAGAATGAAATATGCAGTGAAATGCTTTTAAATTGTGTGTGAAAATCTTTGAATTAAAGAGCCATATCTATGAGGTAGTGATGAAATCTGACCACTTATAAGATTTTTTTCAGTGCCACCATATGTGTGTATGTAATATATAGCTTCTCTTTTTCTCTGCTGGCAATAAAGAAAATCAACTTGTGTGTGTGTATATGTGTGTGTGTGTGTGTATATGTGTGTGTGTGTGTGTGTATATATATATATATATATATATTACTATTTTCTTGTATATAATCAAGAGAAATAATGTTACAATTGAAAATTCATTTAGAAACTAGTGTAGTCACATGATTTCTCTGTAAATGGAATCTTTTTAATAAAAGAGTTGAACAACATTTTATTTTTAAAACCTTTAAAAGTTCAAATTAAATAATTACAATAAATTTCTCATTCATAAAATTTATTGTATTTATTTTTTTTCTAACATTATAAAATTATTAAATCTCTTGTGATAAGCAGCTTACTTGTTACAAGAAGGCAATTTTTTTTATCCCCACCCCAGAAACACATGCAGTTGTTTCTTTTCTTCTACTTCACATCATTTTGAATTAAAAATCAAATTCCAAATTTTGTTATTTATTTCACCTTTAGATGCCCTCTCTTTTATCTTTTTCTATTGACATCTGACAATTCCCCTTATTCGTATAATGCAAGGAATTGTGAAGTGACTGATATTATTTTTGTAATAACTCATGCAATGAGCATATATTTATTATAACTAAATTAATAGTGGTATGTGTTTCTATTGTATCATCAAAGTGATTAGATTGAATGTCAATTGGAAATTAAGCTCTTGGTATTTTGATCATAGCTGCCAAATGTCATACTATATGCTGACTTTCTGTGGCAACTGCATGGTTGAGATTCTTGGTCATGACACAAAATGTAATATTAACTAAATGGACATGATTGTATTCTGGTTATTAGCTTGATAATGTCCTGAACAAGAGACTCCTCTCATATTGTGTTTATAAGATCTGAAGAAGTTCCAGTCTTCATCTTGTATGGTTTTGCACAGGTCAAAAGTGCTCCTCATGACTGAGAAAAAGCTTGTTTAATATAGTTCTCTCAGTTCCAGATCTACGCTGACTATTGACTAATAGCCCAGTATCATTCATATGCAAATTTTGTCAGTGCCTCTACTCTAAGTAAAATGTTCTCTTTCAACAGACAATTGTGGAAGATGATGTAACTCCTGGGGTTTACTACACCACATGCAACCAACACTGGGTCTCTTGTCAAGTTGACCTAATTCTTCATTACACAACATACCTCAGCTCCAACTTGGAGGCATTGGGCGTTTTCTTCTGATGTTTCTTCGCAGGGGAAGTACTTCAGCTTCATTGTTGTCACCATCTGTCTCCACCATGCCACTGTGGCAGGTCATGTGTCGAACATCCGGGAATCTGCTTCCGACTCTCCATCACTCGTGGATGAGTTATCAGCATTGTTTGCAGCAGAGCATTGGTCCCATGCCAGTCTGAGGGTCTTTCACATGATGCGGCATACCATGAATCAGGACAAATTGTGCACTGATGGTCCCAGTGACTTTCCCAGTTGTAAATTTGGAGTTACATCAGCTCTGGTGTGGTCTCACCCACACCACATCTCCAACTTCAAATGTCTCATGTTCTGCCAATGTTGTTAGTGCAGGTACAGTGTCAGTACCTTTGACCCTAACCTCATAAATATGAATTACATTAGCTGGTGCAGTTGGACTTGACGTGTCATCCTTTGGCATCACATTATACCAGTAAACGGCTTCTTGTACAGGGCACTGATTCCACGCTGCAATTTTTGCTCCTATGTCATCTTTCTGTTATCCATTTCTGGATGGTACAGGTGCGCACTGAAAATGCAGCTCCATGAATGACTTGCTGGTGAATGCAGTATAATTGTCAGTTAGAATTTCACACAGCAGACCTCTCTCACAAAATATTGACTCCAACTGTTGAATAACACTCTCAGAATTTTGTTGTGCTATGGGTCGTCAAATAGAGAACTGTATTGGCTCACAGTCAATCAAGGTCAAGTAATGACCATGGCCATAATGCATAATATCCATCCCCAGCCTGGACCACATACTTCAAACCCCTAGTCTTCCATTCTGCCAGTGTACTGGTGCGACATCAATGGAATGGCATTCAGTACATCTCTGATGTCTTGACAGCTGTGCTAGGTATGAAGGGTAGGTTTGGTGTCCTTCAACAAATCTAACCACCTCTGTGGAACTCTGGTAAGCTTGTCAACCTTATTTTGGTTGGATTTATTCAGCCTTACATCTAAGGTAAGGCCATACTCTGCAGTTAGCATCCAAAGTGTCCCCACTTGTCATCTCCACATGAGCATTTCACACGCTGCCATCATTTTTAGGTGTACCTTTCTGGTCAAGGTATTGTTGATCCAGCAGTGAGTACATGTGGGATGAATGACCGAATGCAACACTTTCACCTACCACTACAGGGCCAGGTTTTTGCCCTTTAATGTTGCATTGAGCTTGGCTAGGTTGATATGTTGAGTGTCACAGTTTCGAAGAAGCCAGCATGCATCCTACACGATGCCTCCATTCACTTCCAATGGCCAGAAAATTTTCATCCACCCACATTGACTTTTCAGTGGCTTGTTGCTTCAAGAATGCCACTGCTGCTCAAAGCCAACTACATACCGGAATGTGGCCTAAGAGCTTTCTGCAGAGTGAGAACATATTACGACACAGTAATAGTTTTGCAACATTGTTGAGTCTCACTGGGTCCTTACTGATCAGTTCAAAGTCAGACATATGCTTTCTGACTTGCGCCATGGAAACCGCACTTTCATCAATGAAGATGTCATCTATGTACGCTGAAAAGTGGGATCTTGGATTACTTCATTCTGCAACAGCAGTCTTGATAATTGCCTTCAATTAAAAAAGTAATCGGAAAATATAACTCCGGTTACATTTTCCAATTTCTTTTTGAATTTATAGGTCTGATGAATTGGATCGCGATTACGATCCCAATGTAAAAAAAATCGTAACCATGGAATATTAGTGTTTGAGCCTTTTATATATAAAAAAGGAAAATGGAAAATATAGAAAAAAACAGAAGTAGAAAAATAATTTGGTAATTTGTAAATCTTATATCCCACTTCTCTTCACTCAATTTAAGGTGTGTGTGTATGTATGTATATATATATATATATATATATATATATATATATATGGTGTATGCAAAATATTTTTACAAACATTGGGGATGGGTTCTTTAAACCAAAACCATTACAAAAGCCCACATAAACATATGTCCGCAAATCCTTCGTTTTTGAGTTAAGTTTAAAGTTTATGGTAGATTGCACAGTGCTGCTATGCAGACTAGGTTACATTTTTCATTCGTGTACATTTGTGGCTAGTTTGTCTTCAACGTTTAATGTGTGTAGAAGTGAGTTAACTCAGAAGTATTCTGTTTAATAATGGAAGGATATTCATATCGTGACCAGGCAAATATGATTTTTACATACAGCCATGCGGATGGTAATGGACCTGAGGCTGCACGACTGTACCAGATTGCGTTTCCAGACTGAAGACAGCTGAGTCATCGAACCTTTGCTGCTGTTTATTGTCGCGTTGACACCATATTCTACAGGCTGTCAGAGGCGATCCCGGTACCAGCATATGTCAAGTATCCCTAACATGTTGTACCATATGGAGGGTACTTCAAGAGTAGTCTAACCTAAACACCTCAAAGAGAACCTTCCCTATTCACAAGCACTTAGACTCAGAAGGATATGTTCCAACAATGAAGAATTAAATAAACACATTGAAAATCTGGAGCATCAATTCACATCACGTGGCTATAAACAACACCTAATCAGGGAACAAATAAATAAAGCAATTTCCACACCTAGAGAAGACACCCTAATGTACAAGATTAAAAATAAATTCCTCCACTATCCCAAATAATCAAACGTCGCTGGGAAATACTACATCTCAAACCAGACCTAAAAAAATTGTTTAAGGAACCCGGCCTTCTTGCATATCGTAGACCTAAGAACCTAAAAGAAATCATAGGTAGTAACCACATTTCAGGGGACAAGGTAATCCGTAATAAGCTAACAACAAAAACAACAGGATTTTCCCAACCATGTAACAACAAAAGAAGTTTATGCTGCAACCACATTAAACACACGAATTCATTCACTAGCTCAGTCACTAAATCTACTTTCAAAATCTACCACGATTCTAACTGTAGAAGTCATAACATAATTTACCTCCTAGAATGCACACTATGCCAGAAACAACATTTCCGCCTAGAAAAACACGATTTCAAAACCCATGCCAAATTCACTATAATTGAGAGAATAGAAAAGTTCAGAGCAGATAACTGTTATGGTCCAAGTCCTTGTACCACGGTGATGAGATAACATTAGAACCAATAAAGAAAAGAAGTCGAACAACGTTTAAAATATGGAATAACACAGATATATAACAAACAGGAATATATACAGAGAAGTAGAAAGTGTTATTTACGAACAATCAAGTTTAGTAGGGAGAACAATGTAGTCTCGACCAATATCACTATTCTAATGTCTTGTAGTAATTGTCTGAACGCGACTCTGTTTCAGACTGCCTCTGACTCGACTGACTGACAGACTCCTGATGGACCTCACTCCAGACTGAACGATATCTAGTCACTAAGAACCAAATAACACACGACTTAATCAGTGGCACAAGGCCGGTTTAACGTGGGATCTCCGATAAAACTGTCAAACTGACCAGGGGAATTCAGAGCAGCATGGATCCATCCAGCTCTTATCTCAAATAACAACTTAAAAGAGACTGTTTGACCAACACAAGGAATGTTAAAAGATTCATGTTAAAAAACAAAAAAAAACAAATGAAAACTACAGACAAAATTTAATTTTCTCCATCAAGACA